ACTGCAGCTTTAATGTTTTAAAGTGAAAACTAAGTTCATATATTGATGTTCATAGGGTATTTTGGTATAGGGTCTACACTATTAATCTCTGCACGTGTGAGTTAAACAGTCAGGATTTGTGTTTTGGGACATTATATCTATCATATAAATGTCATTTTATGATGGCATAATTCTTGAAAAGATAATATTGTATACAAAGTAGTAATGTTTCATTGAAGAAAATAGCTTCAGTGTTTAATTGAGTCTGCTAATTAGAAAAAATTTGAACGTTATCTGATTTTAGGGCCAATTTGGCACCAAATCTTAACTTCTTGCAGTAAAGTTTTGATAAGTATTGATGAATGTGGAAAAACAGCACATGCAAGAACCATGTAAATATTTATATTATAGTCAACTCTGTGTTTAAATATCTAGGTGGTTTCTCCTGTGCAATCTATTTTAGCTAATACCAAACCATCTGAAAATCAACTTAAATCAAAGCATTTCACAAAAAAAATAATATTCAAGAGTTACATTTCTATGATGCATTTTGTTTTTGTTTTATTAAGATTAGAGTTATGCCTATTCAGCACAAGCATAAAAGGATGGATGAATGGATAGGCACTTAATGTCTGGTGAGGCATGAAAGAAAATCTTAAATCAAAACTTCTAATTTTTATTGAAAAACATACAAAACTAGAGGCTCTCAAGAGCATGTGTCGCTCTCCTGCATCTTCAACAATAGCCAATCTTTAGTAAAAATCATCATTAAAGGGGAATAACTCTATTAAGAACAATTTCAGTCATGTTGACATGTTTGTAGATCTTATCCAGCTGATAATGTTTAATTTTTAAAGTTTCTATTTATCTGTTATAGTTTTGATGGTAATAGGCATCAAATGCATAAAAATGTTAAAAATTATCATTTAAGGGCAATAACTCAAGTAATGAGTCGACTGAAGATACAGGCCATCATGGCTCTTTGTAAATCTTGTCTTGCTGATCATTTGTGCTAGTATTTAAAGTTTCTATCTATCTATTACAGTTTTCAAGATAATAGGCAACAAGTAATAGCTTTTCGAAAAAAGCTAGCCGTCTCTTAGCTGATAAAAGTGGAAAGTAACCTCGCTTTGTAGATTAATTCATTCAGAATAGCCTTGCATATTAATCAACACATTTTGCCACACACGTTATGAAGCCGTAGTATATCGTTTAATATTGTGTGTCAAATAAGGTCCTTATCGTACTAATCCTTCAAATCATGGTTGTAAATACTTTACATGTTTGTCAAACAATTCATTCTCTCATCATGAAATATCATAACCATGTTCAAGTTTTCTTATGTTTTTCATGTATAAAATGTACGTATAAACAGTGAACGACTGGATTCATGGATTGAATGTGAAACAATCATGTGCGTGTTAACAAAACATCAGGAGATTCGGCTATTTATAGATAAAGGTTACCTGTGTATCGACATGCATGATTTGTGACTAGGCAAAATCTAATTGCTAAAATAGAGAGTACAAATCCGATACTCTACGGGATTGAAAGACATTTACTAGGTTTGGATTGTCCCAACCAATCAACGAGCTTTAATTATTCAAGTCTCAGTAATATCTTCCAATCAGGTAGTAAGAAGCATTCAGCCCGCAGATTGTACATCGTTCAATTCTTAATAACGTCTGAAGAGACGTTAACTAGATGCTCTAAAGAGCCTGTGTCGCTCACCTTGGTCTATGTGCATATTCAACAAAGGACACTCTCCAACATTAGACGAAAATAGAATTCATGATAAAAATCTCTGTTTTGTTGATCTTGTATTGCTGATCATCTAATCTGTTTAGTTTCTCTCTATCTTCTTTAGTTTTTGCTCAATACACAAAAGAGGGTAAAAAAAAAATCCTCATTTAAGGGCAATCACTCCTATAAAGAGTGACAGTCTACATTTATATCTGCAAAATTTGACTTGTTAGTAGATCTTGCCTTGCTGATATTTTTTTTGATTTAAAGTGTCTATTTTTAAAGGGCAATAACTCCTATTAGAAGTTGTTTGACAGTTTAGACGTATTTTCGGACAATAGGTCAAGCTCAACATTCTAAACATTTTTGCTCCTGTCAGATTTTCTCTATTTATAAAGATTTTCCCTCTTTATAACGGTTTTCAAAATAATAGACAAAACTTGCATTTTACCTCTATGTTCTATTCTTAGCCATGTTGGCCATCTTGGTTGGCAGGCGGGTAATCGGACAATTTTTTTAAACTATATACCCCAATGATGATACTGTCCAAGTTTGGGTAAATTTGGTCAAGTAGTTTTGACGACGATGACGACAGATGACAGACGCCAAGTGATGAGAAAAGCTCACTTGGCCCTATGGGCCAGGTGAGCTAAAAATGGGAAAAAATTGGGAAAATCGTAATTAAAGGGCAATAACTTCAATAAGGAGCTGACTAAAGATTTCAGTTATGTTGACATATTTGTAGATCTTGTCTTGATGATCATTTTTGCTGTTAAAGTTTCTATCTTATCTATTATAATAATGTTTTTAAGATATTAGGCAAAAATGTGTTAATGCGATTCCCTCAGTATATTTAACATTCAGATCTTGTTTTGCTGATCATTTTCGCTTTTTAAAGTTTCAATCTATCTATCTATTATAATTTTTTAAATAATAAGCAAAAATTTTTTTTAAAGGGAAAATTTGTCATTCAAGGGCAATAACTCCTATAAGAACCTGTCTGACAATTTTGACATAAATGGACAATTGGTAGAGCTCACCATTTTAAACATTTTTGCACCAGTCAGATTTTCTCTATTTAAAGCGATTTTTTAAATAATAGGCAAATCTGGCATTTTACCTTTATGTTCTATTTTTAGCCATGGTGGCCATAGGACACATTTTTTATATTTTTAACTAGATACCCTAATAATGATTGTGGCTAAGTTTGGTAAAATTTGGCCCAGTAGTTTCAGAGGAGAAATTTTTTGTAAAAGTTAAAAGACAACGACGGGCGATGGACGCCAAGTGATGAGAAAAGCTCACTTGGCCTATTGGCCAGGTGAGTAAATAAAAAAAGAATGTGTCCATGGGACACAGTGCCCCTGCTTGTAGATATGCAAGAGTCAATAAAGGGTCACAACTCGAGCAGTGAAATTGACAAAAATTTCCTTTTCATCTACTGTTTATTCAGAAATAAATTTGTGTGTACATTTATTGTGACACTGGAACAATGAACAAATATGAGATATTAATTATTAAGATTTCAGGAAATTTTGTATTCAAATAAAGGTATCAAAATTTAAATAGAAAGTTTTTATTTTGTGCAAAACCTTTCCTAATATTTTTGAATTTACCATAATTTGCCATGTAAAGTACGCACCCCTTTCTATCCCTCCAAAATCGTGAAAAAACGTTAAAATGTTAAAAAAAGTACACTAATGAAACATTTAATAGTATTCAAAGTCTTACAATGATAAATCTAGTTTTTTTTTAAAGAAATAACCCTTACACTGTACATAATTTTTTTTTAGTAAACTTGTGTTGCTGGGTTGTATTCTAATTGATATTTACATTCTTATCTCCTTAAATTGATATTATTTTCATTGATAGCAATAATTTAGAAAGTTATAGTCCCATCCAAAACCCTATAATGTTAATCAAAGTATCTCAGACAGATAAATAAACTGTTGACAGAGATATGTCAGCATAAAATTCACAAAAAGACAATGGGATGGACAGCAACATTGCTAATCAATTCAAAGTCACTGGACCTTGATCTAGGGGTTAGGGCCTGAAAATGGTCGACAAACTGAGATGTACTGATTGTAATGCAACTTTATAGAAAATATCATTGATTTATCACAAGCAGTTCCTATGCAGAAAACTTAGCATTGACAATTGGTAAATAATTCTAAGTCCTTGGAAAATGCTGGAAAGCAACACCTATGTCTTGCCCTTCACAACTTTTGTCACAGGCAACACAAAAAGGACAAACTAAGAAAAGATAAACAATAAATGCAGTGAAAGATGAACAGTGAAAGAGTGATGGACAGAAAGAAGGCAGATAAACAGGAGCAAAAGTAATATCCCACCATTTGAGAAGCATGAAAAATACCAGATTCTATCAAATTATTGCATGCATTCCTAAATTTCTGACATTTGGAATAGTTTGGAAACCAGTGAAGAAATCTGACCATCAAACATTCATTTCTTAAAAACAGATATAACATTTTTCAAATTTTTGACAAAATATGATATAAACCAGAAATATAAATTTGATAGGAAATTTAACCTTTTCACTGATATTTCTGTTTCTAGCATACAACAGAGTTTAATTACTGGATTTCTGGTTAATAATTTCTAACTATATGTGTGATTTCATAATTGACATGTTTCTTTTCTATTCTTCAAAATTTTCTTTTATTATTTGCACCATGATACCATCAAATTTAATTGGATATCCTGCATAATTTTTATCAAGCTTAACCATGAAATAAGGTTAAATTGCTATAAGACCTCTCCCTAAATTATTGAAAGGTATCATTTTGCAGTAACCATAATATCATGGTGTATATAAGATACACCAGATCTGGTTAACCCCCTCATGGGTGTATCTTATACATACATACATATATATTAGAATGGATGAAAGACCTGTTGGGGAAGAAGTGGGTATTTCAGTATTCAATAATCTGAATTAACCCCTCAGTAGTCTTTTGGAAGTATGCTGGCCTGGTCAAAAGAGGTCATTGGTTCAATCCCTAAACATGTCAAAGATTTTAAAATTGTTATTAGATGTTTTCCTAGCTGCTACAGAAACAAAATTTAGAAGCAAGATCAGACTGGTTTGCTAAGATTCAGAATAATACGTCCAGGTTGGATGGATATGCATGTAATATTTGCCACTGCACATTGAACATTCATCAATTTCCTTTTTGTCTATATCAGTGGCCTAACTGCCATTGGTCAACCTTTAATTTGTTCTGAAATTTCAAAATTTGGTTCAATTTACATACCTTGTTCAGGACACTTGAATTTTTGTTTTCTTATATAACTAAACACTTTTGATTGTCGCACTTCTCCCTAAAATTAAAATATAATATTTACTTCATAGCATTATCATAGTAGGTACTGCTCTTGTGATTTTCAGTGTGTTTAGTTGTTCTATAAATATTCTGGGGTTTTTTTTCTCACCCAGGTGTCATTTAGGAATTTATAATCTAGTCAGTTTTGTGTCTATTCCCTTTTGATCAAAATAATATTTATTTTCTTTGCTGTCTTTGGTTTCTATTCATCTTCCATATCTTGTTATATCTTAAATTAGACATGATTATTTGTGTTACACAAATCTGTCTAAACTTCTTTTTCAAGACACTAACAGTTTTTTTTCTATCATAACAAGGTGTTATCTTTTTTTTTTTCAATATTATTTTTTTCTAGCAGTTTGACATTTCTCGCCTCCGATGTGAGCTTGAAAAATTACAGGTGAGTCAAAGATCATTTAATATTTACTTAATACAGAGTGCTTAAGATATCTCAGACAACTATCAACATTAACTGAAACTATGAGTTCTTTCAATGATGAATAGATTATTTTCAAGTTACAAACTTTCGACTCCGGAGTATATAATTTTTTGACAGGTTACAAACTCTCTAGTTGAACATTCTGGTACTCAGCAAAGTAAGAGCAATTAAAAAAAGTAAAATCAAGCTTACAATCGGTGCAATTTTGGGAAAAGATTAGTTTTTTTATGTTTTCTCTACATAGCAAAATCATCAGAAAACAGTTAATTTTTTCCCCAAATTGCACCAATTGTATACCTGATTTTACTTCTTTTAGTTGCTCTTACTTGACCAAGAATGTCCTATGAAAGATAAGGTAACCTGTCGAAAAATTATACACCGGAGTCAAAAGTGGGTTATATGAAAGTAAACTATTAGTAATTAAAAGTACTCATAGTTATGGCAACTAATGCTGATAGTTGTCCTAAATATCCTTAGCACACTGCATTTAGTAAACATCTACTCTGGAGTCAAAAGTGGGTTATATGAAAATAGTCTATTGCAAGATATCATGATAAATCATCTTCATATATTGATATCAAACTGCAATCAACCATTTGTTGATGTGGTTTCCAAAAGTTTGCTAATAGAGACATGTCTACAAGACTTCATGATGTTGAATTCCAGATGCCTTAAACTAAAACATCCATGTAAAGAGAGCGCCACCCTTCATTATCTGCCAAATATCTAACCTTCCTACATGTTCACCCTTTGTATCAACATTGAATTCACCATATATTGTTATTTCAGAACCTTAATAAATTGATGTATATGTTCTGTGCTTAACATACAAAAATGTTTACAATTGCCTAACATTTTCTTTTCTTCTACATTTATGTTTTCAAATTACAGAACAAATGTAATCATGGTAAATGTTTAAAAGAAAAGGCAGTTTAAAAGCTATTTGGTAAGGTACCTTTTGAATACAACATAAACACAGTTCATATTTCATAAAATATGTATTTGTTCCACAAAAATATTACTTATTACAGTGAATACATAAATCATACAAAACAAAGTAAACTCCAACAGACTATTATTAAACAGCAGCGTGAGAACTTTTATTTTGACAGTCCCCTTTCTAGCATTTGAAATGTGAGAAATATGTTCCTGTATTTCACCTTCTCAACAGACAGTGTAATGAGAGTTCTATGTACTACAATAATTTCTATATTAAATTACAAACCTGAAATTTCTGTGAGCTTTTTCGATTCTGAAGAAAGATGATTGCATTGTGGGAAAATCTTGCCACAGGTTGTCGAAGTTTTACAGTACTAAGAACACAATTACAATTAAAAGTCACATGAGTACTATTATAGTAAATTAATAAATTTAAAGCACTATTTCCTCCAGAATGGAGTGGAGTTTCTATTCTTTGGAATGACACTTTTCCTTGATATCTAAAAACTAACTTGTCTTTGTTAACATTAACAATAAGTTCTAAATATGGTAATTCCTTCTTACGATGAAAAATACTTAAAATAGGTACATCTATGTTCACTAGAGAAATATTCCCAGAGAAATAATATGTTAACTGGTTTCTATATGTTTTGATGAAACGTCTTCCATTTCTTAATTTTAATTTTGAAGGCGTCCAATCACTGTTGAACTTGTAGCCTTTTGTCCGCAGCCGTACTATTCCTGTGGAATTGTATCTTCTCACATTTGACAGTACATTGTAGTCTGAAAAAAAAGAAAATTGTTAAAAAAATTTAATAATTTAATATTTTCAAACATTTATCTATCCAGTATAGTAACTTATCAAGTGTGGACTTCATTTTAATTGCCATCATGAAAATTTTAATTTCAATCATGAAGATGATTTCTTCTGATCATTCAACAGATTTTTCTGTAAAAATAGCAACTTTCAAAGTGTTCAAAATACTTTCTTTTTTTCATGGTATCTTTATAAGATTCTAACAAAATGTAAAAAAATTCTAACTGTAAAAACATGAAGCATGCCACATGATAAACAAAACCTTTTAAACTAAATATATAAAAACTAGAACTGTGAGTGAACCCATCATAACTATATGTTAGGGATACAACTATATGTGGTAAAAATATGTGTATAAATTTCATGTCATGAAGATTTTCCACATAAACAGTATACAGAATCAATGTTTCCAATGATTTGATGTCTGTCCCAAAACTTTCTCATATCCTTTTCTATGCATTTCTATTGATATCTACTATAATAAATGGTAGATCACGGGTCACTGTAAAGAAGGTGAACGACTCTTGACCTAAAAATGACCACAATTTATTAACATTATTTGGGCTTTTAAATAAAGATATGATGTTAACCACTGTCTTTAAATCTCATTATCTATATTCCAAATTCTGTTTACTTATTTAACTGTTAGTACTTTACAGATTTCAAAATTTCAAAATGTATTTTCTCATATGATCTTTTACTAAGACAATTTAAGAATAATGACAATCTGAGAAAATCTTGTTAAATGATTATTCATTAATACTAGGAATACCAAGCATTTCATATTATGAGCCAAATCAAAAGGTTTTATCTCAATATGATGAAAACTTGATGTTATTTACAAGAAGTTTCTGATACACACACTTAGCTGTTATACTATACATGTATTAACATTTCAACAAGGGTCACCAAAATTGGCAAACTTAAACCCCCTATTCATTATTGACTATTTTCTAATGTGGCAAATTGAAATATCTCTTACTGCAAAGTTAGTGCTTTCAAATAAGTAAAAAAAATTGCATACAGTGATTGGTTATAATTGGATAAGCCAAATTAATATATATCCAGTTTTTTTTTTAAAAGTTAATAGGAACAGGAATGACATTCCCAATCTGCTTACACATTACAAAGTTCCCTAAATATGCAATAAAACATCTTTACAGCCAGTCTGACTAAAGTCAGCCCCCACTATCCACTTGCACAAGTGGATAGTTGGGGCTGGCTTTAGTCAGACTGCTTTAGAGCATATTTCAAGTTATTCTACATGTATACTGTAACCATTCAGAGTGCAATCTAGCCTTTCAGAGTATATATTTATAACTAACTATTATAGATTATGAAATTTCTTTCAATTTATCTAGTTGGATTGCTAACCAATTATAATCAATCAAGAAAACATCTTTATTCAATGTCAAACTCTAAATATTATACTCAATGTGATGTATTATACTCAATGCGATATATTATACTCAATGTGATGTATTATACTCAATGCGATATATTATACTCAATGTGATGTATTATACTCAATGTAATGTATTATATTATACTCAATGTAATATTATACTCAATGTGATGTATCATACTCAATGTGATATATTATACTCAATGTGATATATCATACTCAATGTGATATATCATACTCAATGTGATGTATCATACTCAATGTGATATATCATACTCAATGTGATATATTATACTCAATGTGATGTATCATACTCAATGTGATATATTATACTCAATGTGATGTATTATACTCAATGTGATGTATCATACTCAATGTGATGTATTATACTCAATGTGGTATATTATACTCAATGTGATGTATTATACTCAATGTGGTATATTATACTCAATGTGATGTATTATACTCAATGTGATGTATTATACTCAATGTGGTGTATCATACTCAATGTGATGTATTATACTCAATGTGATGTATCATTCTCAATGTGATATATCATACTCAATGTGATATATTATACTCAATGTGATTATTATACTCAATGTGATGTATTATACTCAGTGTGATGTATTATACTCAGTGTGATGTATTATGCTCAATGTGATGTATTATACTCAATGTGATATATCATACTCAATGTGATGTATCATACTCAATGTGATGTATTATACTCAATGTGATGTATTATACTCAATGTGATGTATTATACTGAATGTGATGTATCATACTCAATGTGATATATCATACTCAATGTGATGTATCATACTCAATGTGATGTATTATACTCAATGTGATGTATTATACTCAGTGTGATGTATCATACTCAATGTGATATATTATACTCAATGTGATTATTATACTCAATGTGATGTATTATACTCAATGTGATATATTATACTCAATGTGATATATTATACTTGTTGTACAAATTGTTACCCTATATTCTGTTAGCTTGGACCATTGATCTCTTACCTCTGATCCTGAAAATCAATATAAGTATTTCCTCTTCTCTGGGGAATTTATTATACAAAAGTAAAATCATGGATATTGTTAAGCTGGTATGTTTATTAAAAGGAATTGAACTGAACCCCAGACTTTTATATCTTTCATTTAAAAATAATCATCATCTCTTCATTGCAATTATTTGTTACAAGTTTGATAAACCATTCAGCATAACCTCTAACCTTAAACAATCACGAGGTTAATGTCAACACATTTTGACTAATTACACTGTCTGATGAAGATTAACTAATACATTGGTTTACATCATATTGACCTTAATTGGTCCTAGACCTTCGATCTCAGCTTAACCTTTGACCTCAAATATCTAAAATTAAAAGTTTATGTGTTATCCTGCAGATTGATTATGTGTGCAAACATTCAGAGTGAACTGTTAATAACAATTTTTTCAAAGGCATTAAAGACACAGATTGATTCACATTTTGTCCATATTAAAACATGTTCAATACATTCAAAGGGGAAGTAACTCTATTCCTCTATGAAAATAAAATTTATCAAAAGAGTTCACATTACAATCAATAGCTGTAGGTCAGCGAAGTAAGATAGTTAAGGTTGTGATTCTTGATTTCTATCAAACAATCTTCCACTATGAACCTTCAATCAGATATCATTTATAAGGTATTTTCTAAATGACTTGAATCATTTATCCGAGTTGATAACAATCATGTACTTTTGATAACTAATAGTCCATGTCAGTAATTTTATAATCAGCATTTAATCGAAATTTGACATGCTGTTTTAAATGTTTTGTTTTTTATTTTGTTTTTTGCTTACTAGTTTAAATCGTTGGGAATGGTTTCATATTTAATTGATATGCACAGGTTAGACTGCACTTAACAAATTGTGTCAAGTCATCAGCCATACTGTGATCGTTTTTCTTTCATACTCAAAAAGTATTATTCTTTGAAGCTTACAAAGTTTAGAGTCAAAACAAAAATTGAGCAACATTTTCAATTTTAAAAAACTTATGTTATATATGTTTATATGTATTGCATCTTTTAAGGCCATTACCCCACCATGTTCCTTGATTTGACAGCTCATGATACACTGTGCAATAATTATAGTACAAAACAGTGAATAACTGCTATAAATCGTTCCTGATTTTATATACATGCTGACTTCTAGATGTGTTTGTGCTTTGCTGCTTTCTAATTTAAAATATATATCCCTACATCTACTGTACTTCATAACAGAAATCTAGGAATTTAGTTACAGATTCCACTAAAAAGTCAGAATGATCTATTTAACATAAAGTAGGCTAACAAATTCAAGGTTTAGTTAAGATAAATAGTAGTCCAAAACATTTTTTTAAATTATGTAACTTATGATAGGTTCTCATTCAGAACTTCCGACTTCTTTTAGGTTGAACAATTTGTATGAAATGAAGGACCAATTCAAACTTAAAGAAATTAATTTCATTCTCACAAACAAATCTAGGACGATTTAAATAATTATAAATTCTGCGTTTAACAACACATTTTTTCTACAATTTGGAGGATCCATTGGTGTGAAGAAAGGTTTTCATCAATTACTTGTATGACTCATGATATATTGTGGGTGACCAACACATTAACATATAGATTTTACAGTCCAGGAGAAGTGTACTGCTGATGTACACAATATAAATGTCTCCGTTTTCTATCCATTCTGAGGTTAAGTTTTTAAGACTCCCTGCTTTCTTTATAATACCTAAATCCTATTTGACGAAATCTTGACACTTAACAAGATTATTCTATCTATATGCACTGTTACAATCCAGGTATTCGACCTAAGTCACTTCATTCTTTTGAAGTATGTGATCTGAGAAATGACAGTTTTGGGGGTATATTGTATGATCTGCCTAAAAAAGATCTACTCATGAATAACTTGTCAATAGATCTTAACAGTATTGCTAAAAAGTGTTTTCACCTTTATAAAACAGGAAGATTTAAAATAGATTCATTATAAACTTCATCGACCTTCCATTCAATGTTTGAAATTTGCATTGATATATTGAATATTTATAAAATTGAGAATGGAAATGGGGAATGTGTCAAAGAGACAACAACCCGACCATAGAACAGACAACAGCAGAAGGTCAACAACAGGTCTTCAATGCAGCGAGAAATTCCCGCACCCGGAGGCGTCCTTCAGCTGGCCCCTAAACAAATATATATACTAGTTCAGTGATAATGAACGCCATACTAAACTCCAAATTGTACACAAGAAACTAAAATTAAAAATAATACAAAACTAACAAAGGCTAGAGGCTCCTGACTTGGGACAGGCGCAAAAATGCGGTGGGGTTAAACATGTTTATGAGATCTCAACCCTCCCCCTATACCTCTAGCCAATGTAGAAAAGTAAACGCATAACAATACGCACATTAAAATTCAGTTCAAGAGAAGTCCGAGTCTGATGTCAGAAGATGTAACAAAAGAAAATAAACAAAATGACAATAATACATAAATAACAACAGACTACTAGCAGTTAACTGACATG